ATTAAATTTATTATTTATTAACATTATAAATTGTTAACTTTTTAAAATTTTAATTTTATTATAAATATTATTTATTATCTAATTATTATTTAAAATTTGAGTTTTATTATAAGTATAATTTATTATTTAATAAAAACGAGAAGAAAAAAACAAAAATGGTTGCCCGGAAAATCGAATTCCGGCAGCCTAGAACGTGAGCGAAATGCAGAGGTGATTGTGTAAATAATGTGTCCACGGTTCTATTAAAAAATTCGTCTATTATAAATACATTTCTAACATTAATATATAACATGATTTTACGTACTATCATTTGTAAATATTCCAAGTTTCTTAAACTTTATATACAGAGATGTATTAATAATTATCAAATTCTAATTAAAAAATAAAATATCTATATTTAAAAAAAAAAAACTTTGTACAAGGAGGGCTAGAGCCAACTCTCACCCCTTCCTAAATTAATTCCTGAGAAAAGTTGGTAGCAGTACGAATTACGAAAACTATATATTAATGCTATGTTCATTTAAATGAATTTTGAGATAAAGAAAATTTTAAAGGAATGACTTTAACGCAATAAAGTTTCATTTTTCATTGTTTGGTGCACACATAAAAAGGAAGGTGACTGAATGAATCATGCGAGCCCCGCGTTAAAAGCCTCTTTTTTTTGGCGCTTCTGTGAAAAGCAAATTGGATGACTTGTGAAACTTTTTTATCCCTAAAAGTATACTTTTAAGTTGAAAACAATGTGAATTACTACAAAATAAATTAACTTTAATGACAAATCAACTTGCATGTAAATTTTTAAAATTCACTACTAAAATTTTAGTGAAGTCGATTTAGGGAATAAAAAAACATGTTTGCAATGTTTGAATGTACAGAAATCAAGATTCCTTCAAATTTCATTTCATCTCTCTTCTTTCTAACAATGTAATGCAGGATATATAATATTCATTTTTTCCTTAATTTTTCATTTAGTTAAATAAGCAAAGAAATTTATTTATTTTTTTTTACTTTTCTTAATTTATATTAATATGCTAAAATATATATATAAATACATATTATCAAAGTAAAACATTAATTTTGATTAAAAAATAACATCAATCATATTTAAAATGTGAGGTGATGCTATGTTATTCAAGTGTTTTATGAAATTAATATTTAACCAAAGAAAATAACTATAAGATTCAATAACACCATAAAAGGTGAAAAAGGTAGTTAAGTGGGCTTGAGCTATAGACTGTTCATATATCATGATATCATAAAAAACATTGATTGAAGAGATAATTAATGGGATGCAAGTAACACCAAAGAAATGTTCACCTTATTTTTAGAATTCATTGTAATAGCCTACCCTGTGGTAATGGTATGAGATAAACATGCTCTAAATTTAAAAGAGGATTTTTCCCACAACCAAAATACAGAGATCGTTGGTTTGGTTGAGTTAGGAAGTGGGAGCATTGAAGTGGATTTGATTTCTTGCGTAGAATAGACCAATCCAATGCTAAAAAATTAAATGAAATGACTTTAATCATAAATAAGTAAATGGTACTGGATTTACCTACTGCCCTATAAAACATCATAAAACCTAGAGTCGAGAAAACGGGTAATCTAGTCCGGCCCATCACGGGTTGAGTATTTGGTGAGTCAACCTAATTCGGCTCATTTATTAGTGGGTTCAAAAAAATTGAACCCGGCCCGGCCCACCATGGGTTGGTGGATTAAACGGGTTGGCTCACCTAATTGAAAAAAAAATGTAATTTTTTTAATATACAACTAAAGCCCAAAATCATAATTAAATGATAATTCTAAATACAATCAAATAAAATCTAAATAATCTCATGTAAACAAATATAATTCAAAATCATCTCAAATTTCAAATACAACAAAAATTATCTTCAAACTCTAATTTTAGTAATTTGGGCCCAATAAACTAAGAGTGGTGGGCTGGTGGCAGTATGTTTTTTTTTTTTTTACGGGTTGGTGGGTCAGCCCGGTTCACCACGGGTTCAATCCAGGTGAGCCGGGTTCAAAATTAGCCCATACTGAAATTTTCAAAAAAAATTTAACCCAACCTGGCTCGAACCCGTGGTGGGCGGGGTTGGCTCACCGGGCTGAACCCATTTTGACAGCTCTAATAAAACCAACTAAAGTAGCACTTTATTATTTTAGTCAATAAGCTTTTCGGACTAAATATTTATTATATATAACTAAATTTTATAATAAATTATATATAATTAATATTTTATTTAAGTATATAAATTGTATTTAAAATTTATATAAATAATTTTTAAATATATAAATTATATTTTTAAATAAATAATTCAAAAATATTTATATTAAAAAATAATTTCTAAAAATATTTTTATATATAAAATAATTATTCATGTCTGTTAATTATTTTAAAAAATTACCAGTTTCTTCAGCCAAGCTTAAGATACAACGATTTTGCATATATGTGAGTGATTCTCGTGTGACCTGCTAAGCATTTCATTTTTGGAAGGTAACAAAATACTAAATGGCCCAACCCAAAGGAATGATAACACCATCAAAATATTGGGCCTATAAAGAGAACCAAAAGAGTTTAGGCTAAGCCCAATTAAGGTTTTTAGTTTTGATTGGACTCAACCCTTATCACTAATCTAACTCCAGTAGTTCCAAATTAATTTTTTTTTGAAAAGAGGTAAATGTAATTTTTATAAAGACTAAAATATTATCTTCTCTCCATAAAGAAAAAATAATGATACTTAACATTCTAGAGGCAACATAATGCTGCGCGTCTGTGTGATTATCCTGGATTATGATCAGCTGATGACTGATGCGTAATTAAGCAATGCATATTATGTAGGAGCGATGCAAGCACAAGATGATGACTCATTCGTCAAATCGATTTATTTGAAATCAATTCAATTATATTTTTATGGGTTATGTGTGTAATTTTTAAGTTATTTGATTATAATTAAATTGGATAATTGATAAAAAAAATATATATATATTATTTAATGAATTTGAATCAGTCTGACCTATAATAAATTATTAAAATAAATTAAAAATACTATACACAACACAATATATAACATATTCACTTGTATAATTTTACTTTTTTTTATATATAAAATATTGTAGTAATAAATTTATTGACTAAATTGAATAAGACATAAGTAAGAAAAATAATTTAATTTCACTTGTTATGTATTTCAAAATTTGTTAGTTAATGATATAATATATGTTTTAATTTGATATTTATGAATTGTTG